TCAGAGATAGGTGAGACGCCGCGCCGTAACGCTTTCATACCCTCCATACTTTATAATGCTTTATCCTGAACAGCCTGAATACAACATATATATGACTATATCCATAATATTTATAAACAAAAAAATCGGTAACAGTACGGCATATATTTGATATTGACAAATAAGCTTATTATCAAACGTCATCCTTAAATCTGGGTTAAAAATAAATGTTTTGATTAATTATATAGTTTACAATAACATTAGAAAAGCAGAACGAAGTATAATCAAGGCATTTGGAATATGTAACCCTAATTAAAGTTACTTTAGTGAGTGTAAATCAAATTGTCTTTACTATACTGTTATTTGCAATGCTACGGATCTAGAGAGAAAATTTTGCAGTGAACATGAAGTACAGTCTATCAACTAATAAATAAAAAGCATTTGCAGCAATTAATCAAGATAAAAAGATTTTGTTAGTGCAAATACCTCGATACTCCATTAAAATTCACTCAAACACAAATGACAAGCTATGCAGAGTCTTCTAGTAGAGTCCGAACCATTATTGTTATATCTGACAAGTTAAAGCATTAAGTTCCAGACGGATATATCGTATAGGTTAGTACTCAAGAAGGGCGATATTAAAAGCACCCGAAACCGATATGCATTTATGCGTAGATGTATGAATGTAGAAGAAGCGAGAGAGATGTGTCAGGGCTGCGCCAAATGGAGGTCCGTGGTCTACATTTACCTTTACGGAACTGAGTTATGATGTTGTTGTAGCATTAGTGTTACATTTATGTTACAAATGTACGATATGTTACATTTGTAACACAAATTAAAATGTGATTTTCTATAGTAATGTCGCACACGCCTCAGACGCCACAGACGATATAACAAAGTTTTTGCCGGCGGTCGCAGATACATTAAAATCATTCGACAGTTGTGATCTACGAGTGTTTGAAGCGGTGGCCGTTTATCAGAACGCAAGCGAGCTCACCGAGTGCGCAGTTATAGCTCGCTTAATGGCCGAACTTTTGTATGTCTAGCCCTGTTCAAATTTGCCGATTTTCGCTACGGATAACCCTTGTATATTTATCGTTCTCCGCTATTGTTTGATTCGTCTTCGTTTCAATATTTGAACACCTTTCAAATTTTTTTATAATTCAGTAAGCCGTTTTTTTTGTCTTATTGGCTAACTCATGACTTCTAATAAACACTAAAAATTGTTCTCCGCAATACAAAGTAATAATTTGAACCATTACAACGGATAAAAGGAAAGGATAGAAATTGATTGGATAAAAGTTACTCGTAGGAAGGAAAAATGCAATTTCTTTAACATAATTAATCCTTTACGTCCTCAATGACTATATACATAGTGCAAAAAATCTACCTAAACATTCTGAAGTATTGATTTAGTCGATATTTTTAGCTATTCAGACTGTCTCAGTTAATAGCTACTTGACATTGGATAACTTGATTCTCGGAATGGCCTAACAAACATCACTTAAGTTAAATGAAAAGTTCTTCGCTTTGATTTGATTCTTATTGGATTTTCTCAAAAACAAAGCTACAGCTGTGTACAGTATAAGAGATATTTTAAGAGCTAAAAGCAGCTACTCATCAACTATTATTTTACAACCAATGTTAATTTACAATTAAAACCATCATCGAATAAAATTACAAATAAACGAAGACTTTACGTAAGATTTGTGTGTAATTTAATAAACAAGACACACAGTTAAATTGGTTATTTTATGGTCATTTCGTATTACTATTATAAATATTTTAATAAATATGTAAAAATAACTTTCTAACCTTATCCGAAAACGAAATGAATACATAAACTATAAAAAGAGAGTAACACATCTAAACGGAATGCTAACATATTAACCGCAGCAGAGATTTTCAGTCGGAATTCGAGCATTAAACAGGCTTTCATACATTATATCAACGCTTTTTAAAACCGCGGTATAAATTGCAACTGACCGTATCAAATGTTTATTACCATTGACACGTGTGAATCATCAAAATCATCTTATCATTCACAGAGCAGTTAAGATGAATATTGTTATTCTTTTGTTTAAAACATGAAAACCTCTTTCTTTTGTTTTAAGCCCGTACTGCCTACTGTTACCCACTAAGCGTCGACCACTGATGCTATGATATTTACTAATTAAAGCAAACCGTGTATAGTAGGCCTTATTTTTGCAAAAGGCATCGCGTTTATAAATTTGAAAGTTTTGATTTTAAATTCATATATACCAGTTAAGTACTTGGATGTTTACCTTAAAGAATTTTATTTGTTAGGTTTTTAATCTCATACAGAAAAGAAATGTACTATCAGCAGAAGTTTATTATTTGGTAACATTTTGTAGGTAATAACCCGGATATTTCGGACGATGATACATCGGAAATTTATCGCGTCATTAAATATTTCTACAATAACAGCGCCTGTCATTTTCAATTAGCCACCTTGAAAGTTGACTGCGATGACGTCACTTAATTAAGAGTCGCTGTCACTTTGTTACTTAGTTAATGCATTTGACATGATTCTTGATTAATATTGAAAAACTTTTTCTTAAATCAAGAAGGTAAATAAAAACTTAAGTTAAAGAAAACGGTATATTGGTTTAAAAAAAAATATTAGCTTATTGTTATGTATGCGCTTGCACTAGGCGTAAATAGGAACGGTCGGCTGCGTCCGACCTGTACGACAGTCATTAAAGACAGTCTGCACTGAGCAACCGTTGTTTTGATTACTCCCCATACTTATCACTTGTAATTCTCTAAAATTTAAAATCCCTTATTTTTAAAAATGGAACACTATATACGTCGCAAATAAAACTCGAATAGAAAACTGCTGTCGTATGAAAAATATTAGAGAATTTGAATTTTTCATCAAACGCTTAGGCGTTTAGTAATGAATTGAAAGGGTTATGATTGATGGCGCGTGCTTCGGACATTGATGTTACATTCCGAATAAAATTCATGTCTGTATCAGGCACTATTGTCTGCAAACCACGTGTAAAAGCTTTCACGCCTACGGACGCTAATGGAATGATCATATATAGACATATTATGACCACTAAAGCTTTTTAAAGCTCAGAAACAATATTATACTGAAGTAATATTATTAAATTGAACTTTGATTTTTTTCACGTTGTTCAATTGAAACCTGAATAAGCTCCGATTACTCTACCACTATCACGAATCAAATGGCATGGCACCCGATTCACCAACATCTTACTAATATTTTAAGTGCGAATTTATGGATGATTGTTAGGGAGTATCTTCAGAACGTCTACATGGATCTCGCTGAAATTTGGCACAGATGTAGAACATAGTATGGAAAACACATAATCTACTAATTTAGTTTTTTTTTTCAATTCAGCGCAGACCGAGTCTCGGGCGTCAGCTAGTCTATCTTTAAAACTATGCAATTCCATTTTGCATCGTAATAGCAGAGAAAAACATATCAGAAATTGTCCTCTTTAGTAAAACCTTTTTAAAAGAAACTCGTCGGCGGATTTATCCATATAATTAAAAAGCTGGAAATTGAAAGGCGAGGGTAGACCGCGATGCGACACGGCGACAGTGGCATCATATCTGTGTGTGTACATTACTCATTTCCTTAACGACGCCAGAGGGCGCTGCGTTACCAGATATTACGTGCTTTTTTACGGCGTCGCTCGAATGAAATTCCATTCGTAGGGGATGTATTTTATTACGTCTTTATTTGCGAATACCATTACGGTATTAGTTGTTGTGACGGTTTCCACGCATATACTTGCATATACTACTTTATTTTCTGTTATTTGGGTAAACGGCTATTTAGTTATGATCTCAAAGTTCTCCCTTAACATTTTCTTCAGGAAATTTCATGCCACGTTAACAAAGCAGGCGTATTCAATAATAAATTAATTTATTAATTTTATTATAAGCTATAAAAACTAAAACTATTTAATTATTTAATTAGTTTTTACGCAATCACTAGGAAGCCTCTTCAGACTTTGTACAAGGATTTTTAACTGAAAACTTCACATAACTTTATAAGGATTTTGCTACGTAAATGAAGAATGAAATAAGCTGAAATAATTTATGCGTTGAGTGCGTTTCATTAAATTGTGACTTATATTAAAAATGTTGAAATTATAAAACTCCAAATATTATTTAGTTGTGATTATAATTCTGCTATCTTCAAAACACTGTCGAAATTCCACTTAAATATTATTTACGTGCGATGTGTTTAAAATAAAATAACTGCAACGGATCAGTCAGAGCTTGCTGAAATAAAATCAAATATGCTTAATAGTTGCTTTTTCTGTTTGTTCGTTCTTGAGACATTAGTAAAGAAATAGACAGAATTTAACACGGTTTCCAAATTTCGGTTCACTTTTCTTACCTTTATTATAACTGAGACTGATTGTATAGATATATGAGGTAGATAAAAGAAATGAAGATATTTTGTGCGTATATAAAAAATTAAACATGTATGTTTAAAAAAAATAACGTTGAAACAAAAGGAGAATGAATAGTTTGAACTATATTTTTATAGCAAGAGATGTCAAACGACCAACGGCTATATTCATTTGTAAATGCGTCACATCAGTAGAGGAACACACAGAAAAGAGAATATTTCCCCTTCCTATACCTTCCCTCCGGTGCTAAATCCATCTTTGCTGTAATATTATGCTACACTATTATTTATTATATCTGAAAACGATTATTTTACATTTCATGTGTCCATTCTAATATAGTTTTATTCACAAAAATATCTTCGTTTCTTTCAAAATAGTGAAAAAAAATATATTTTTAAAATATATATTAATATAATCTCTCGCCAACTCTTTAGTCTAATTGGTACATTTTTGTTAACACGATTCCACAAAATTGATAGCCTATCCGAAGTCAAAATGAAAAAGCGCAGCAAATTATAATGAATCATGAAAACTGAGTTTAAAAGACTAGTTTTTTTTTAATTTTACATTACATTTTACGCAGTATTTAGTTATATACCATACCTGACATGGGTGATTTGTATAAACTTAAGATGGGCTCTGATAGAAGGGGGCCGGCGGCCTCTGAAAAATAAAACACCCTTTAGAGCCGGCTCCTTCGTGTCACAATAAACAAACTTTGTCATGAAAGTCAGCCACCATCTTGATATTTGTGTTTTATTTCATACACTTTTATGGAGTTTCATTTTAATCTTTATAGTTTAAATGCTTTTAACTTTTAAGGTTGATTAAATTTGGGAATTTATTATGTTCGGAACGACTTCTCGACTTGGATTTATTTCAATTAATAAAATAAATTTATCAAGCTCAAGTACTTTTTAGAATATATAGGAGTGTCTCTAAATCTAATTAGTCAATGCTTTTTAACTCTTTGTGCTATATTTGTTTTATAAAATAGTATATTTACGCCTATGATATATTAATAAGACGCCCATAGACATAACAATGGGCGCATTCAACACAAAGAACATTTTATGTGAAATTATTTCCGCCACTTCGAGAGTAATTTCACATTTAAGTTTCCTAACTCGATCGCAAACGAACTCCCGACGTTTCTACAAGAATAATGTGAATCGCGTAAATGCAAGGGAACGCATTAAGGCACGGGTAAAGATTATCCTGAAAATGTTGCTTTTTTAATGGAATTCATATTCAATTTATTTTTCTTTCTTTAATGGAGTTTTTAGTAAAGATTGCAAAATATGTTATTTATGAACTAATAGACATACTTTAATTGGAAGATATTTATTTAAAGACATAGCAAAGCAACTGTAATAAATATTGTAGTCCTAGGTCAGTGAATATTTAAGTTATTAGAAGGTAAAAAAATAATTTTAATACCATAATAAAATAATTACTTCTTATGGGTTTTTGAGAAGAAAATATCTATATAAAACATATCGTCATCGCTGTCATAATGTTTGGCACAACGCAGTAAACAATATGTTTTAAACGGGAATTTTGGTTTCAGAAAGTCACGGTAAAACTTCAACAAAATATCTATTCTTTCTTACGTTCTGTAAGAAAAACGTCTCTACAAATTACTACCGTAACAAACTACGAAATGAAACTGTGTCAGATTGGTAGCCGATACATCTGAGACATGTCAACTTCTAAAACTAAATTAATTCGTTCAGACATAATACATTTCAAAGCGTCGAAATCTGGTTTGACCATGGCTCTTGATTTATTATCTGTTGTGACACTACAAACATTTTTAAATTATTTTTACTCTGTTACATCGTCTTATTTCTGTCACATTCCGGGAATCGCGGGACAATAATATATTTGAGTGCAACATTATATTCGTATCAGTAAACAACAAGACAATCAAAAGATTATTTTAAGATTGAAGATTTACAAGTTAATTATTCATTAAAAATTTCCATATTTTTATTACGTTAAACTATTAAAAGAATTTTTAACTGAGAATTATAAACCTCAATAAACAATAAATTGTTAAATCATTTGCTTATTTTAATTTAATTTAAAATAGTGTTAATTCATATGTAAAATATTTTTATCGATTGTTTCATACGTGGCATAAGAGACGAGGTACTACGAAGTTTGCCGCCAAAGGGTTGTTAAAGGTCATAAGCCAAACCGTATCCACATTATTTTATTATGCAACAATCTTACTAATATTTTCATTATAAACAAAACAACGCAATTCATTTAACTTCACATTAAGCGATTAATTAAAGTCAGTGTTTATTCAAAGATAATTTTTATACTCTATAATTATGACGCGCCCACATAATTTGTCAACACTTGACGACATTAGTCTACTGCAGAGGCGAAATTTTCTTTTAATATTACATCTGAAAATAATGGTTTCCCATTTGCGGCGTGACTCATATAATAGTCGCACCTGGGAAATAATTTCAAAGCTCATATATAGAGGCCGATTTAAAGCATAACCTTACGTATAATTATGTAAGTAATTACTAATGCAGAATGCGGGCAAATTTTTATTTCATAACTTTTCCTGGTTGGATTTTCAAGTTTGTTATTGTCATGGTTTTTTTTTAATTAAGTCTACTTTTACATATTTTTTTTTGTATGTGAATGTGTTAAATAGATTGTTGGTTGCCGTCAAAATACGTCATCAAAACTGCCGAATGCCCTTATCACTCCTCACAGTCACCGCCTGTTTGTATGGAGCATCTCTACAATATGAAGAGGATTAACGTCTCATTGTGTGTTTGTGTGGACATTGTTATTTTAAATTTAATTGAATTGTTTAATCATGTTGTTTATTGTCAATAGTTTTTTATTTTATTTTATCCGATATAATATTTCATTGTTTTTTTTTCGTTGGCTGACTTTCACGGCAAGGTAAGGATAGCAAACTCACCTCCGCAAATCAAAGACATCGTTGATAATTTTACAAAACCCGGTCTCAAATTTATAAAATACTTATCCCTAACTCTAACTAGCGTGTCTAATATTTTTAATGCACTTAAAAGCTTCCCTACAATACTTTTTAAACTCTATTTTAGAGGCGAGAAGGCAATGGAATATTAAACTTTGTACTGCGATAATTTATCGTAAATCTATTCTACTATTATTATTAATTACAATAGAAAAATGGCACTAGCAAGACACGCTTTTACGACCGATTTAATTAAATCGATGCTTGTCAATTTCACAATACACTGATGAGAAAATTAATACATCAAAATTCGAACTAAATACACCGAGCGGTCGGACACGGCGTGTTATCATAAGCGAGAGGTCATAGTGGCGTGTTGTTTACGCGATGTAACCGCGATGTAGCCGCGCTGCCGGCGGTGGGGTGCGTGGCGCGGCCGTCGGGGGCACGACTGGCGTTCGCCGCTTGCCGCACGCCGGCCGGCGCGCCATACGGCTGCCGCGACAGCCGCGTCGCTGCGCGCATGCGCACACCCTCGGCGCCTGCGCGGCACACCCGTGCACGTGTCACGGACGCGCGCCACTTATCAAAACTTCGTATCGAAGTTAACAAGTTGCTTTATTACTTTGTTTAACATGGAATTATTGTCACGGTGTTGTAAACGCTTAATTCGTTAGACTGAGTCTGGCGTCACACCTCCGGATGTATTTACAAATAGCTTTTAAGTTAGGGGACAACTTACACAGCGAGACAGCTGACCAAGGTTGGTTCTGCGGTGATGTAGAATCTTTCAAGAAGGTTTGGTAAATTTGATGCATCAAATTTTGGGTCGGTACGAACGTTAGGATTTAGGGATTGGGTTATCGAGAGTAATGTTTTAAAAGTGAAAAAATTAAAGAGTTTGGTAGCCTTACTGATATTCGCGAATTCCGTGTTAAATCCCAAATAAACAAAATTAGCCAGACGAAAAAACGATGAAAGAAATCCAACGTTTTATCAAATGTTTGTAAACAGCTTTTATAAACTGTTTGGGTTACAAGTCTGTGGTTGTCATTGATAGATGACAACGCTATTATTAGCTTTCGGAAATGACTTACATTTCTCGAGTTTTATTCTTTATCTTTCTGTTGTATTGAACATTATATTACTTTTGAAATGGGCACCGTTAACATAAATAAATTATGAATCATGTCGAATTTAAATTTAACCAAACTAATTTGAGATAAAAACCTCCATTAGTTAAAAAATCAGTTTAAATAATAAATCAGTTTTCCGATATCGAGACGTACTTAGAAGTAAATGACCGAAGCGAAGGAAGCTTGAGTCGTGCAGCCAATCAAACCAAGGGCAGTTGTAATTGCGCCCCTAATCTCTACAGTGCGCTATACTACGTATACATGTATGTACATCAGAATTGAATACGGTGACATCTTACAATTACATTTAAAGCGAAGATGTCATATAAAACGAATTAATGTTAATACGTAATGCGTTAAGTCTAAAAATGTTAACATTTCACCATTTTAACTTTTAGTTTGAAGTTAATTATTTTAAAAAGTAAAGAAATAAGTTATAAATAACATTTTACACTTTAATTACCCTTAGACACCTTTATCCATAATATCTATTTTTTTCTTTTTATATCATAAAGTGACAAACGAGCGAGCGGCCACCTGAAATTGCTGAAATAGGGAAGTGACCGTTGCCCATAGACATACGCAATTGCATATGCGTTGCCTACCTTTAATCGACGGAGGATAGAAATAAGGATAGAAAAGTCGGCAACCACAGTTCTATGACATTAAATTGCGTAAGTCGCTTAGCGACTAAAAACGCTAGAATTCAAAGATTTACGTTGCCTTGTGTACGAAGGGCTTTACTACAAGAATTTACATTGAACATTTATAGACGGGTCGATGTCACCGTTCTCAAATACTTTACAAAGATTTACCAGCAGCCTGAATTCTTAAGTTAATTATCTTACTTCTAATCTGACCTCTTCAATCAATGTTGGATGGGCTAACTTCGGTCCCGGGTCAGAAAACTCGATTCAAACAAACTTAACGAGTTTAAACGATTCCACTGATTAGTTGCACGAAATAGACGACTTTGTCGAACTGCGTTAGGTCAATTCTATCTCTGTATCGACTTTTTCCACTTTTGCAATGTGGTTGAAAACAACGAATTTATATATTTTTAGTATCCTACTAAATTCATTGCAGTACTGAGACACCATTCAAAGTTATTATGATTATATTAGACAAATCTTTATATACATAATTCTTCTGTGAGTGTGTATGTCACTGAACTTCTCTCAAACGACTGGACCGATTTTGATGAAATTTTTTGTGTGTGTTCAAGGGGATCTGGGAATGGTTTAGATGCACAATTTTGTCCGCTGGACAATGTTTTTTTAATTATTTTTTAATTTATTAGTAGTTGTTGATTTTGGAATGTTTTACATTGGATCCCACAGACGGCGCTACCATCGCAGTGTCAAATTTTAAATAATATTCGAATTAAAGATGTGTAGACAGGACAACGTCTGTCGGGTCCGCTAGTATATTACATTATATTAATTTTAGTTTGCTTTGTTGAAGTATTGCGTGATCAAAATTGTAGAGTGGGGTGTCATTAGATTTATACTCTTCCCGGGAGTGTTATTTTAATATAGTCAATTATTTATTGCGTATCAAACAGCTATTACCAATACTTACAACCAATCTTTTTTTGGATTTATACAGCTATGTAAATAAGTCTTGTAATTATATAAAATTCTAATGTATTTTACATATAACTAATTTTATAAATACGAATGTTTAGATTGATGGATGGATGGATGTTTGTTTGAAGGTATCTCCATAACGGATAGGAATGAAATTTGGCATTAATATACATAGTCTGGATGAACACATAGGCTACTAATTAAGTTCTTTTTTTAATTCAGCGCTGACGGAGTCGCGGGCGACAGTTACTTTACAACTAAAAGTTAGAATGGGAAATTATAAAATTAAAATTACAAGTAATATATGTCTAGTTTCAACGATAAAGTTTTAGTAGAGTGAAATTCATTAGGGACGTCACTATCCTCCGTGTACAGTGCACTCAAGTTTAATCACGATGTATAGGCGTGCTGAGGGAAGTACGTTTGGATTATGTGCTAATCTCATTTCTGCGAGCGACTGTACACTGCCGCTCTAAATGTAAGTCGTGTTTGTATTAGACTGCAGGTGATATTGTTTGTATTATTATACTTATGTATTCTTTAAATATTTACGCCACAGGGAAATGTTAATCAATGAATGTTGGAATATTTCTAATATTATAAATGCGAACGTCCATTTATACATCCATCCAATTATCTAAACATTCGCATTTATAATATTAGTAAGATTATAAAGAGGAAATTTTTGATTTTGTTTGTTTGTTTGCTTTCAAAAGACTCGGATACTACTACTAAACTGATTTCAATTTTTTTTCACTGTTGGGAAACTAAGCTATATATGACATGGGCTATATTTACTATTAGATTATATTTAAATTCTGCACGGACAAAGTCACGGTCAACTATTACATTTAATAACTACGAAAAATGTGATACGCTCTAATATTATATTTTTTTTATATCATTATGTGGTAAAGGAGCGAGCGGCCACCTGAAATCGCTGAAATAGCGAAGTGACCGTTGCCCATAGACATACGCAATTGCATATGCGTTGCCTACCTTTAATCGACGGAGGAAAGGATGCACAGAAAGAAAATATTTTCCCTTCCCATGCATCCTCTCATCCGGAAAGTCCACTTTAACTTCCCATCCTATCCTTATAAGGACAAGGGTGGGAAGGGAAATTAGGCCTCCGGGACTCACATTCATCAGACGAAACGCGGAATTGCTTCCACTTGACGCCTGTCTTCTGTGTGGTCGTGGTATTTCACCGGGCGTGCCGACGCGGGCGTGGTGCGAAGATATTAAAGCTGGCTCTACCTCTGTTTAATGGTAGTACTAGGTAAATGGAATTGAAACATGTAACTTAATCGAAATACACAAATTTCTTTAATAAATTGTTTATATAAAATGAAAGCGAATAACTTGTAAAAACAAGAGAAAATCAGAATATTCTCACGAAAGCTACAAACTCGCATAGTTTGAAACTTTGAAAGAAGATTTGATTTCGTTAACGTGGAATTCTCAAATGATAAACTTTAATTGGATTCAAAAAGTAGATTTCAATTAAAGTTCATCGTAAGAAAGTTTTTCATTTAACAATTTTATTAATTTATAACTACAGTTCATACAAAACTTTTATTATAACTCGTTACGTTTCAAAATTAGAAAAAGACTTTATAATTTACAGATTAAAATCTTTCAAGATAATGTTAGAAAATAAGTTTCTAATCATCATCAGCTCACTATAAGTCCCCACCGAGGGGCTCGGAGGGTGATTAGGCCATAGTCAACCACGCATATATTTGACTTCACACATATATTTGAATTTCTTCTCAGATATGTGCAGGTTGCATCACGATGTTTTCCTTCACCGTAAGAACGTTGGAAAAATGTACATATGTAAATCGAAAACACATTGGTACATAGCGGAATCGAACCCAGGTGCAGATTTCAAGTCAAGTGCTTAACCCCTGAGCCACCGATGCTCATCAAGTTTCTAATACAGATATTGAATTTTACAAATGAAGTATATCTTATGTTTTTGATTTTATAAATTTTTTTCATAATCAAATACAATATTTGTCTTTCGGACTTTACGACATTATAATAAAGAAACAGTTTATACTCTATTTATAGTATTAGGTGGCAAATGAATTGACCCAAAAAGTGAGGCGACTGCTGCTCCTATGCATCAGCAATCGTAGATACGTTACCCATCTTAAGTCGATGGAAGAGGGGACGCACCGAAAAAAAATAGTTCCCCTTCTTATGTGTCCCCTACTCCATCAAATTAACTTCCCCTTTCCATCCTATCCTTATAAGAAGAAGACTTACTTTAG